AAGTAGGAATCTTGAGACACTTCTTCCAGCTCAAAGAGAATAAGTTGGTATCCAGGGCCTGGTGAGATGGGGAGAGTTAACCCTGTCCTCCTTATGCCACCCTCCACTAGAAGGTTGTTCCGGAGAGTAGCTGGGTGGATTATGTCTGTTTTGTGGCAAAGTTCCATGGCTAGAACTGAGGCCCAATGAAGGGCCTGTCTCATCTGTTAGTGTTGCTGTGCTGGGTTTGGGTCCACCCTACATTGTAAGCTGTGGGATATAAGAAAATGAATTTGGATACATTTATGGACTTTGGAATTTCTAGGCTATGGAATGCCTAGGCCACTGCTTCCTGTGTGGTCCCACCTCCACAGGACACAAGGATGCTGAGAGGATCAAGGATAAGCTCATCCTTCAGGACTAGTAGATCAGAGAATATGTATCACATACAGCACACTCTTCCACCCACTGCAAAGTTTGGCATTGCTATTCTAAGAGGAATTTTCTGGGGTGCCGAGAGTTAAGCAGAAAACCTCTGGGTTTCTCCTTCTCTTCCACCTCCCTCCCATCTTTTGTCCTAGTTCCCTATCTCCCTTGTCCTTGTTGTCAGAAAATACTTATGCAAGGACACTGGATTCCATTGTTGTCCTCTATTGCGTACTAGAATCTAGTCATTCTTTGATAATTGAGGATTACAAGGCTTCAAGGTGATCATTTCTCACACAACAGAACTAGAGGTATACAGGGGATACAAGATTGACTTGAGTATGGACTGAGCCCTTGACACCTTTTGGAATTTGATTTTTAAAACTAAACCCCTGATATAATCTTGTTCTCTTGCTGTTGACTTCTTTCTCCTGAAAACTGAACCGAGCAAGAACAGGGAGGAAAAGAATTAATTAAGGGAGCCACTGAGTGGGGACCCCAGGAACTCAAGGTTTGACTGGGTGTTCCTGTTATTTCCATACCATACACCTCATGTGGGGTATTGTATACCTCAGGACTACCTGTTGCATTCTAAAAGCCATTCAGTTGCATTAACTTTTCCTATGTCTTAGACAGAATTAGCCTTCTTTCAGGACTGTTTCACTACCTTTTGAACTGATATAAGCCCTCTTCTCAGGGGCATTAGGACTGCTTGGATATTTGTCAGGTCTTCAAGTGTCACAAGAGCTGACTATGCTTGCAGAACTCAAAAAGTTGGCCTCTGGACTTCTCAAATAGTGCTACTGGCATCCTGGACACTGTATCTACTCCTTACCCTTTTTTCCTCCTTGCTACTCTCTGACACCTTCAGCTCATCCTCCAACTGCCTTGACTCATTTGTTTGGGCACTCCCCTCATTCAGCAAGCTTCCTCCAAGATCCTTGATTTCTTGATCTGTAAAATGATGGTGATGGTGCCTACGCTGCACTTTGTGGCACAGGCAGCACTGTGTCTGTCCATAGCTAATGCTCCATTATGGTAGCAATTATGGTCAATGAGTCTCAAACTCAGCTTGTTTTTTAATTGGAGTATAATTACTGAACAATTCAAATGTAGCTTTGCTAGCAAACTTAACCATTTTCCCCTTTCCTCCCCAAACTGTCTGGATTTCTTTGCTTCTGTCTCCATCTAAGAAAGTCCACATCAAAAGAACTGTTTCACTTGTGTCCTGTTTTCCTGGCAATGTTTTGCTCACGCCAATCTAGCTAATTTCTCTATTCCCCTGTCTTCTCAACATCTCCCCTGGACGCTTGGAGTAGGTAAGAGTAGGAAAAAAAAAAACAGCAAGCTACTAAACGATCAAGTCAGTGACTCTTTCAGGACCAAGAACTCTTTGAGTGGCACAGAGGGTTGATTAATATGTCAGTGAATTTCAATAACACAGAAGCTCCTGATTTAAGAAAGTTTTCCCAGATAACATTCTTGATCACCCATAAATAAATCTATACTTTGTTCTTTACACACAACTTAGTGCAAACACCACGTTCAGAGAACCTGAAGCTAACAGTGTCCTAAGATTGGCATTATCTCCCACCTGAAGTGAGGTTAGGTGAGCTCATACAGCAGATTTACTTGGGCAGTTCTGCTGGTCATTCCTTTACAAACTTAATAGCCATTGCTTACGTCTTTCCCCAACTAAAATCTATCAGAGGGACTCCACATCATAGCCTAAACTGGGCTGTTCAGTAACATGACTACACTAGAAGCCAGGAGGAAATCAAGGCCTTCAGACTGGGCTTGGCTGGGTCCTTGGCTAGCGTGTCAGTGCCAGGTACCTGGTTAAGAGAAATGATCCTGAAGCAAATAATAATTACCTTCTTTGCTGATAAGAAGCCCCAGTACTTTTCCAATAACACGACTGCATTAGCATATTTCTTTGGACTAAAGCCTGTAGAGCACTGATTCATGGGTACTGGACTTACTTCACACAAACTACTGTTTTGTGTATGTGGTAGAACCCAGTGTTCTTAAGATCCTGAGTTGCTGTAAATAAAGCTGGCAGTTGCATCACCTGTCCCTTTCCGTGTCAGGTTGCTCCTTCTGGCTGCAATTCCACTTTTTGTCCACCAGGAGGCCTGATATAGGAAGGAGCAGAGGAAAGACTTCAAGCCTTTTGCCTCATTTTTTAGCTTTAAAGCTGAAAAGAATGTAGATAAAAGTCAACGAGAATGGGCGTTATAATGAATCTCATTATCTTCTCAGCTGATGCCTAAACTTTCGAACCTGATACTATGCAGCAAAACAGAATAGAGGAACCTCAGTCAAAAACAAGATGGTGAGAGTAATACAGGGCTTCAAATCGAGATAATAGAAAGTCAAAGTGGGTTACTATATTATATCCTGCTATATTTTTCCCTTTAATCTGTATAACTTGTACCCCTTCACTGTTTTTTTTTCTTTCTTTTCTTTTCTCCTTAAATAAAATTTTTTTAAAAAAGCTGAAAAGAATGAAAATATATTTTGATAGAAAAACATAACTCTTATTCAACAAAAAACACTTCATTTTCATTGTGGCTTGGAATCTGCTTTTTTCATAAAGCATCCTCTATGATGTGTGGCTGGATCCATCACAAGACAGATGCTTTCTTGGAGTCCTCTACGTAGCCTTGCTTTGTAGTTTTCTTGTCATCTGTTATTTATAGGAAATTAACAGAATTTCATTAAAAATAGGGAGATGAGATACTGGATAATGTTGGATGTACTTTCTTTGCACAGTAGGGTGTGGAGACCAGAGAAAAATACTGGCATCTGTGGTCAGTCCAGTGCCTGCTCTTATACTCCATCTCCTCTCATCTCCTCTCGCCCACCTAGCCACCTCCCCATACACTTTGTCCACCTACCCAGTTTTCTAGACACCTTCTGCATATGCATGCATACACAAACTAGTCCACACTTATGTATGTATATGTGCATGTGGGAGGTATCAGTACACAGACAGATTGCTCCTACACCCACACATTCCAAGGAAGAGGTGAGTGGATGTATTTCAGGGCTTGGGACAGGCTGGTGGGCCATCTGGCTAGGGGACAGATGCATTGTGGAGAGTGAACATGCAGGTGACAGAGTATGTGTGCAAAGGAGAGACTGAAAGGGCAGTGAACAGGTGAGGCTCCCAACAGTAAGGGTGGGTGTCCAGGGAGTGTGACACGTGAAAGAATTGCAAAACCATCCATGTTAAGGTGACTGACACCTAAAGAAGCCCCTTTTAAAGCAGCACTGCCCTCTACTGAGGACTTTCAACCAGGTGTTAAGCCTTTCTTCTATTTCTCTAGAAATCTGCTCCAGTTTGGTTTTTCCAATCTCCAGAGACCTCTTTGGAGATGCCAGTTGGCACAAGAAAGTGCTGAACTGTTTACAGTCCCAGCCCATGGTGCAGGGAGGGGATGTGGTTTAACTGGGCTGCAGAGCCCGGTACAGGACTCATTTGCATGGCCCCTGACGCCATGTGACGCAGCAGGCCCCTCCTATATAAAGAAGCAGGAGCCAAAATATCTCAAGAGTCTGGGTTGGGCTAGCAGTCCTCGGAGTTTGTGACACACTGACACCCCTCGAGTCACTTCCCTTCAACTCTAGCCAGAGCCCTCGCCTGGCTTTGGGTCCGCCCAGCAGCCTTCACAGTCTCCTAGCCTTGGGGCCAGACTCCAGCGCGGAGCCCAGCCCGGTGCAGCGCGCCAGCAGCCAAAGGCCGCCCTGTCAGCCCAGCCCAGCCCAGCCCGAAGCCTGACCAGAGATCCCCAGCAGCCTGAGCCATGAACACCGAAATGTATCAGACCCCCATGGAGGTGGCGGTCTATCAGCTGCACAATTTCTCCATCTCCTTCTTCTCTTCCTTGCTCGGAGGGGATGTGGTTTCCGTTAAGCTGGATAACAGGTAACCACTGGCCCCAGCTCCCGCGCTGAGCAGAGCCCAGCCGCCGGCGGGGGCTGAGCTCCAAGCCGGATCTCCCAGCGAGTCGTGCGCCGCCGGTCCCTGTTCCCCGTGGTGCAGCATCCTGGGAAGGGGCGGGGGTAGGGGACGCAGGAAGGGGGGTCACAGCGGCGCCGGGATCTGCCGTCGGAGCGTCCTTGCGGCCGCTGCGCCTTGAGAAGCAGCTGTTACAGCCGCAGAGGCAGCCTGAAGCAGAGGGGCGGCGGGCAAGGCCGGGCTCGGGGCAGGCGGTGCACCCGTGGGGAGAAGACCGGAAGCTTCTGAGCCGAGAAGGAATTGGTAGCTAGATTTGGAGCCCTGTAGGTTTGCCCAGACCTTCTGGGCCGGCGGCGGGGGCCTTCCTGGGCCGCGTGCCCCCATTGTTTGTGTATCGCTGGAGCTGGCCAAACTGGCCACGCTGGCCTGTGCACCCCAGGACTCGCGCGCCGCCAGGATCGGTCGGAGCTCCGGGTGTACTAACCTGGGTGGGGAAGTGCAGCTTCCTGCAGGGGCCAGAGAGGCCGAAGAAAGGAAGAGCCTGGGGGAGATGGAGGATTTTGCCTACAGCTGCCAGGTACTCAGAGTGGAACCGGATGGGTAACGGGTCGCTTTGCTTTTTGTCTTTTAGTGCCTCTGGAGCCAGTGTGGTGGCCATTGATAACAAGATTGAACAAGCCATGGTGAGTGAGTGGCATCCCCACGTCATACCCATCCCCAGACTTAGCTACTGTACCGCTTATGTAACTCTGGGCAGGACTGACTGAGAGGGTAGGTATAAAAGCTACTAACCAAAGACTCAGGAAAACCCTGTGCCTGGTTCCCATCCTCCCTGAGACCTTAGGTGGGCTTAGAGAGACACCTTGTAGAGTACTTCCAGGTCTGTTCTTGCTGAGCTCCAGCCTTCCTTCCCCACTCCTCCATCCCAGGACTTTGAAGCAGCCTCTGGCTCCCTCCCAGGCCTGTGCAGAGCAGAGAGCTGAGACTCTCATTTGTCTGTATCCTGCAGTTGGCAGGAGCCAGAGCTCATTGGATGCAACTTCACTGCAGTGTCTCTGCAGAGCCTGGGCTGGGGTCAGGAGTTGGGAGGAAACAGAGAGTAAAGCACCCAATCCTTTCTCCCTTTCCATACCAGGTAGAGGACAGACTCCACTGAGCAGCCAAAATGGCAGCAGGAGCTTGGGGCTTCCTGTAGTTAGAAGCCCTTAATTGTGCCCTGGAGCCTAATGTCACAGTTCCCTGCCCCTAGTAAAATCATCAGATTCAGAGAAGATATAGTAATTTCTACACTTTCCCCAGAGCAGGTGTCTTATGTCCTATCTAAACAGGCTGGAGGACCGTTGTGACTCATTGTGCTGGATCAAGACTCTAAAATGCTGATTTTATTTTCTTGGTGAAGATTTATAAGGCAGACCAACTGAATGGGGTACACTACAGTTACCCCATTCTCACCCCTGATTTGGACCAGTAGCAGAGCCAACCAGCAAGCTGAAGTCTCACTCCAAAGATGCCTAAACAGTCACATTTGAAAGTCATTAGAAACTTGAAGAGGGAGTGCTATCTTGATCAAAACCAGGCTGCCAACTCTGGCATGGCCCAAATCCTGGAGTGAGGGTTTAAGTGCTTCAGAGAAGGGTACACAAGGAATTGGGCTATAGGGCCAGGCCACTGAGGTCAGGCTGCAAGGCAGTGACATGAAGGCCAGCACAGGCTCTTGATAGCAGGTGCTGGAGAGACAATAATGACTAGAATGGCTTTCTTGTCATTTCTTCCCATGGCAGGATCTGGTGAAGAATCATCTGATGTATGCTGTGAGAGAAGAAGTAGAAATCCTGAAGGAGCAAATTCGGGAGCTGGTGGAGAAGAACTCCCAGCTGGAACGTGAGAACACCCTCCTAAAGACCCTGGCAAGCCCTGAGCAGCTGGAGAAGTTCCAGTCCAGGCTGAGCCCTGAAGAACCAGCTCCTGAATCCCCACAAGCCCCCGAGGCCCCTGATGGTTCTTCAGTGTAAGTGGCTCTGTCCTACAGGGTGGGCAGAGCCACTAAACTTGTTCTACCTAGTTCTTTCCAGTTTGTTTTTGGCTCCCCAAGCGTCATCTCACGTGGAGAACTTTACACCTAGCATAGCTGGTGCCAAGAGATGTCCCAAGGACATGGCCACCTGGGTCCACTCCAGTGACAGACCCCTGACAAAGAGCAGCCAGGTCTCTGGAGGCTGAGTTGCATGGGGCCTAGTGACCTCAAGCCAGTGAGCCTCTAATGCCACCATATCCTAGAGACTCCCAGGGCCTGGGCAACTTATCTGTAACTGGCAATGGAGAAAGGTAGTTTGAGATGTGACACCAGTTTGCTCCAGAAAATAGAAGGGGTCTATTTTCATTTCCATGGACATCTTCAACAGCTTCACCTAACAAAGACCGTTCCTATGAAGAAGCCACTTGTGTTTTAAGCAGAGGGAGCCTCTCTTCTCCACTGCCTCACGAGAGCAGGGGGCACAGATGAGAGAGATTGAGCCAAGTCAGCCTTCTGTTGGTTAATATGGTATAATGCATGGCTTTGTGCACAGCCCAGTGTGGGATTACAGCTTTGGGATGACCGCTTACAAAGTTCTGTTTGGTTAGTATTGGCATAGTTTTACTGTATAGCCATAAATGCATATATATACCCATAGGGCTAGATCTTTATCTTAGTGTAGTGATGTATACATATACACATACACCTATGTGTCGAAGGGCCTAACCAGCTTTGGGAATACTGACTGGTCCTGTACATCTTAAAGCTAGTTCTTTGACTGTGTTCATTTACCAGCTTGATCCAGTTTGTCTTTTAGGTTAAGTAAGACTCAAGAGTAAAAGAGAGAGAGAGAGAGAGAGAGAGAGAGAGAGAGAGAGAGAGAGAGAGGAGCCAGCCTCAGAACATGGTCACAGATGCCTTGCTGCTGTCGCCCTTTCCCATCTGTCCACTGTAGACAGGTGAAGTCCTTTTGAATATCAAACCCACCATTCACTGGTGCTGACTACATAGAATGGGGTTAAGAGAAGATCAGACTGGACTTCATATTGCTGTTTGAGAAGTTTCAAAAATTGTGAAAACTTTCAGGTGAACAGAAAGATAGATAGCATCCTGCCGTGGATGAGAGTTGGATGAGGGCCTGGCTTTGATCCCATGGAGTCTGGGGGATATGCTTGGGAGCTTGTCTGGGGGAAGTTCTGTGACAGAGAATACTTTCCACTTTCTGACACCTTATCCTGATGTATGTCTCCAGGATTTGAATTTTGATTTTTCAAATGTAGCTTGAAGTTTCAATAAAACTTTGCTTTTTTTTTCTAAAAATACACATGGCATCTGAGTGAGTATAAATTGCCTGGGCAAGAAAGATCCTTACCCAGTGGGAGGAGACTTTTTCTGATGCAACATATATTTGTTGAGCATTCCTAAGTGTCAGACCTATGTGACATCCAGAGTCATATGTCACCCACATAATCCCTATGTGAAGGACATACTCTCTACCCTCACTGTTCTGGTAAAGAAGATGAGACTCAGCCAGCTGAATGACATGTCCAATGTCACACAGCTGTTATGTGAGTTGAACTCAAATCTGTTGCCTTCTCTTTCTGTTCTGCTCTCACTTTCATGAGAGCTTCATGAGTAGCAAAGAAACACCCACCCTCAGCTTGAGGGGATGGTGTAGGAAGATACATAAGGATTCTCCCAAAAAGACTCTTGTCTCTCTCTCTCTCTCTCTCTCTCTCTCTCTCACACACACACACACACACACACACACACACACACACACACGGTAGCAAGATGAAAGGAATCTGAAGCACAAGTGGGACTCTTCCTTCTTCTGAAAATATCACATAATGCATTCTCCTTAATGCCAATCCACTGTGATCCCTGATCTTGGAAAGGAAGCTAGGAGGGCCTCAGTAAGAAAAAGATGGAAAATGTATGAGGTGACAAAACCATCCACCTTTTATCTGTCTCTTTCACCCCACCTGAAGAAAAATGCCTTTAATTGTTGTTTCTCTACTGTCATTGCAGGGAGTTCACTTGTAAAATCCCCAGCCATGTGGGCAGAGCTAAGTCCAAGGCTCCTGACTATAGCTTCCCTCCACCTCATTTTTAGGGTTCATTATCTCCCCCCACCCTTGGCCGCATCTCTCTTGTGTTTTTTTTTTTTTGTTTGTTTGTTTGTTTTGTTTTGTTTTTCTATTTCTTTCACTAGCTACCCTGGAGCATTTAGTGTCTCCTGTATCACATCCTAACCTAGACCTATCCTGGCCCCTAAGCATAGCCTTAAGCCTACTGTGTCCCTAAAGAAGAAAATCACCCCTATCAAAGTGATTCCATTTGATCTCTTCCTGTAGCATATACACCTATCCCTTTGTCCCTTGAAATAGAATATAACTCTTTGATTTTCCTGAGCCACAAACCTCAAAGTTACCAAGATTGTTATATCACTGTCCAAATATAATCAAAACAACATGCCTCTTTCTCTTTCAAGTTCATACATGTTGACCTGTTCTTTTCCATTTGCTAGAACCCTTCCTAATGTTGTGAATCTCTGCTTGCTAGTCTCTCGAACCTCAATTTCCTCACCTGCTCCAAACCTCAGTACTCATGATGTCAAGTTTGTTGTTTACACATACAAATTTGGTCACAAGTGGATTGCACAGAGGTGCAGATCCAAACTTTGGACTAGTGCATTGGAAGCCCGCAGACAGCCAACCCTACCTATTTGTGCTTTCCCAATCCCCACTTACTCCCAAATGCTTCCCCTTTCAAAACAAGCTGAGAGAATTTTAGACTTCTCTCATCTGTAGACCTCCCACAGTGAATTTCCAGCTGAACAAGAAAGAACAGATGAAAAGAGAAAGGCATAAAGTAGCACAGCTGTACCCCAAACCTCTCTGTTCATCAGGCTCTTTCTGTACGCAAGAAGGGGAAAAACCTTGCCCCTGGGTCACACAGTGGTAAAAAGAGAACAACTTTGTTGCCTAGGCAACCCCGACTAAACAGAGACAAACACTGCAACTTCTGAGGCCGCGGTGGTTACTACAGTAGATAAGAGGAACTTTAAATGTTTTTCACATATAGGAGTTCTTTGTAGTTGTTGTTGTTGTTCCACAGAAAACCAACTAGGGTGGAGAAAGGTAGAAAAACATTTTGCTCCTGGACTTTTATGGACTTTGGGATTCTGAGCTCAGCTGACCCTGAACAATAAGGACACTTACAGTGGTTGCCACCCCTGCCCAGTTATGGCGCTTCACCCTGTCATCTCTGCAGCAGCCCTCCCAGCATGGAAACAAGGATCACAAGAGCACTCTTTGCTGCTCTCAGAAAAAATGATAATTAGGATCTACCTCCATGTGATGGACAAGAAAATTGGGAGCCAGAGGACTTCGTGTTATCCCATTGATTCCATGGGGCTATGGTTCCCCTTTTAAATGCTCAAAATATTTTTTAGACCATCTCCAACTCCATGGAAGTTGAATTTTTAGTTTTCACAGAGAGAGACAGAGATACAGACAGACAGACAGACATAGGGACAGACAGTAACCAAATTCAGTGGTGCTTTTAAAAGAATTGCTTGTATTTGCCACAAAAGCATAGACATGACTTTGAAAACTAGAACAATGATGCATGTGTTAGCAAGATTTAGCCATTGTGAGTATATATATATATATATTTCAAAATATGTTATACATAATAAACAATTTTATTTGTTGATTTAAAAAAGAAAACTAGCTGGGCGTGGTGGCACATGCCTGTAATCCCAGCACTTGGAAGGCTGAAGCATGAGGGTTGCCAAGAGTTCAAGGTTAGCCTCAACTACATAATGAGTTAAAGGCCAGTCTAAACTACACAGTGAGACCCTGTCTCTACAAATAAATTAGAACAAAAGTATAAGGATAGATCTTTAGCAGAAAATAAGTATTTGAAGCAGTGCTCTCAGGCTGGGGACAACCACAGAGGGAGACGTCGCCATGAATCCTGAGAAGGAAGCGTGGGAGCAGATGAGATCACTGGGACCTGGGCTGCAGGGAGAAGGACTTCAGAAAAAAAGGTACAAGACCACTGCCTCTTAAGAGTATTTTGAAAATATCATAACATTATATTTCTGGAAAACCTTGCTTTTGAATTTCACATCTTCTCCTACCAGTTGATTAGAAATTAATGAACAAATTAGAGCTTTATAAATGGTTTGGCTCCTTGGCTTGTCTCATGTAGAGAAGCTCATTGGAACCAAATATTAGCTACTTCACCACCTCCATTAGTTCAAGTAATGTTTACCAACGAAAGCCATCAGCTAGCTATTCCAAGCAGAAATGGTTTCCAAAGAGGAGCCAGCTGGAAGGAACAACAATTGCAATACACATCACTTATATGGCACTTACTTTATGTTAGATAACATTCTAAACCCTTTTACATCTACTGACTCTTAAGCCTCTCCACTAATGTATAACATATGTTCTATTTAGGCCCCTGCTTTAGAGATGAGAAAATGGGAACACTAAGACACAAAATGGTTGAATAGTTTGCACAAAGTCACAGAGCTAGTGAACAGCAGAGTGCAGATGAAGCAGAGGCAAGATGGATGCACTGAGGGACAGGAGGGGAAATCTAAGAGTCATAATTCCTCCTGTACCACCAGGAGTGCCCCAGGAGGCAGGAGGTGAAGAGTTAGAAAGGAGACCCCCCCCAAATCTAGCAGAAAGGCTAGCATAAGAAAAAATGACCAATGAGTCTGGGAGGAGTACAAGTGAACAGAGAAGAAAAAGGTGGGTGGGAAGGTGAGGTGGCTGGCATCCAACCACATGACTGTAGATAGGATCTAATAGGTCTCAGGGAGTCACGGTAGGCTCCTGAGTGGGGAAGTGACGTGATGCAGAGATATTTGTAGAAGACGGGTCCTGGAAGCTGGAGTGGCTGAAATGGGGACCGCTAGCCACTGACCAACGGTTGCTGTAATCCAAGTGTGAGGTGCTGAGGGCCAGCTGGGGCAAGAATAAGGGTCATGGAGAGGAAAGTAAAAAACAAAGGCAAAAAAGCCACTGAAAGGCAATATTTCTTCAAGCGTAGTCCACTCACATTGGATCTGTTACAAAAGTTAAAATGTAAATACCAGTCCCCATGTCAAGACTATAGAAGGGTTAGAGCTCAAGAATCAAAAACTAACAAGTCATTGGTGATGTTGAAGTACGGGAAAGTTCACAGACAATTCATAGACGAAAATCAGCATAATCTGGTGGCCAAGTGAGTCAGATGGACACAAGAGAGCAAACTAGCCATAAGTCAAGGATGGCATGAAAGTTTTTGTTATGCACAGAGAGACAGAAACAGTTACAGTGAAACAGAGAGAGATACAGTATACAGATATAACTATTTTAACCAATTTCAAGTGTACCACCTCATAGCATTAGATATTTTCACACTGCTCTGCAACCATAGCCACCAACCGTCACCATCATTTCAAACGGCACTTGATGCCTGTGAAACTCTGACTTCCTGAGCCTCTGGTGCCCTGAAAATGTTGAGTCCAGAGGACTCAGACCAAGGAAGCACTAAAAGCAATGGGTGTAGGAAAAGACTGGCACCTTTTACAGAAATAATGAATTACAGCTTTGATTTCTGGTTGAGCTAAGCATATTTACATACGGAAATATTCCATAAATGGCTGTGACAAAGGAAATGCAAATCAAAGGCCTGAACATAAGTTATGTGCATGTGTGCACAGCACAGGAGTAATAGTGATGTGAGTGGACACAGGCCCGAGAAGTGGCTGTGGAGCATGAACAGAAGATCAAGAGAAGAGGAGAGGAGAGGCAGGCTGTGAAGAAAGCTAGGAAAGCCCTGAGGGAGCACTAAGCTCTGCTACTCCCTCTGCTTTTATCTCATGATCTATTATTTTTTGATGTTTCCCCTTCAAAGTCCTTACCATAAGTCCTGTCGTCTTATAAAATTAAACTAATCCCTAAATGTCAATTTGAGGAAGGCTGAAGCAGCCTTTCCCAGATATTCTGGGAAAAGGAAGCCCTGAGGTCTGAACTATAGGCCTCGTATTGACTAGCAAACCATATAACCCTGAGTACTTCATTGGCATGTCTAAACCTCAGTTTCCCATGCTGCAAAACAGTATGGCTGAACAGCTAAGTAAAGTCTCCCAGCCAAGAAGAGGCCTTTAGGATATGAAACTTGTGTACTTTACCTGTTTGCTCCAGGCCTCAGTTTCCTTTCTTGTCCCCAATTCTCTTTACCCACATACCTAGTTCTTCTCAAGTTGCCTGTTAAAGAGCATACAAGAGGGCAGGGATATAGTTCAGTGGCACAG